ACAGAACATACAACAGTTAAATAGGGTTAATATGGTGAAAGTTGTGTCTCTCCACCTGGTGGTGGCTCCAGAAGTTTCTTGGAGAAAGCCTGGAGGTCCTGTGGTGCATCTTGTAAAACCACAGGGTCTGGTCCTCCTTCCTGTGGAGTCTGACACTGAAAGAGTAAGGAGGCTCATGGCTGGTGTGGCTTAGTTGGTTGGAGTGTCATCTCAAAGGTGGTGGGTCCAATCTCCATTGGGGTGTATGTGAGAAATAGCTGTTTAATCTATGTTTTACTCTTCTTTGTACCTTCTTTCTCTAAAAATAAATAAATAAATAAAATTTAAAAAAATCAGTAAACATATTCTAAGGTGAGGATTTAATTTTAAAAATAAAAGAAAGAGAGCAAGTGGCTGCATTGATTATACTTTCTGTAGATCTGTCCAGTGTTATTGTTTTTCCCCATGGACAGCCTGCCTGAGATAGAAGAGCAGCTGCTTGGAAGAATTCATGTCAAAATAGTGATGGATTGTTTCTGTCTTCTCATCCTAACCCACATACAATAGACACAGACCTGAGACCAACAGCCTGAGCAAGAACTGCAGTGACCAGTGTCAGGTCCTCTACATTTAAGATTCATGTTCAGCTATGCCTGACCCATGAGGTTCTCATTGGAAATGCTGCTCTTGTGCCAAACTTCAAAACTTCAGTCATCTTAGTCTTCTGCACATCATAGAAGTAAGGGCTTCACAAACACTGCATTGTAAGTTGGCTGGAGCAACTGAGGAATGTGTGAGGGCAAAAAGAAAGATGGCAGCAGGAGCACTCAGGAGAGCCTGGCAGGAACATGTTTGCAATAAGTTCATCTATGCAGTTCAGCCGTATGGAATTGGCCATAGGTGGGAACTATCCCAGAGACTGAGTTCTAGCCAACTCAGTCTGGGGGCTTCTCAGTTCTTGCTGGGTTAGCCTGGGAGACCTGGGCAACAGTGAACCAACTGAGCTGGCTCTCTAATTTTGCATTTTCTAGGAGGTCAACTAACGGAGATCAGGCCTCATTGAGTCTGTTGTTATCTTCAGAATTGGTACTGCTTGAGTGTGGGGTATGTATGTAAAGGAGGATTCTACTCTAAACCACTGTCTGCACTCCCCACATGCACGTGCTGATTGACCACAATGGCCAGTATTTTTGAGTGGCTAGTGTTTTTTTCTGAATCCTAAGTACCATTAAATCAAGGCTGCTTATCTATTTTGTTCTCAGCTAATTCTCTGTTAGTAAAAACAGTGCTTATTTAATAGGCTTTGAAGAGATGCCAGGTAGGAGAATTAATCAATTTTGCATACATTATCTCAGAAATTCTTACCAAAATGCTATATGAAAGGGATTTATAGTAGACACCTATGGAGTTACCTAATACCACTGTCTTCTAGGAAGTTAACCCTGCCTTATAGATCATAAGATTTTTATGGTTCTTACTTGACACTGCTTACCTGGCTATTGTTTATTGGTTCAGCAGCAGCCACCTTATTCACAATTGACTAAATCTCTTCCCCAAATGCTGTTTCTGATTAATTAGATCAAACAAAGACTCAAAGACTCCAGAGACCCACCTCTGCCTGCAGATTGATTGGATTCAGTCTTGAGTAGTCCCAAACAATTGTCCACAGGTGGGGTGAGAGGTTTCCAAGCAGAGAGGGGCAATTGCCTCTGCCTGGAGGCTTATTGGTATCCTCGGTCTCTTAATGGGTCTCAGAAACTTCAGAGTGGGACCAGGGTTTTCTAATAGAGTGGGTCAACTATCCTCTCCCTAGACAAAAACTGCCTGAATAGCAAAGGTCTGCCTGAGAAAGGTGATCTCCACAGCAGGAGAGAATGACTCAGCACAGGAAATTGGCATCTGCCTTCTGAGCTCTAACCAGAGCCCCCAACCCTGGCTTATGTTTACACAGCTCCATTCTACTCTGCCCTCCCTCTGCTGGATCCCAAAGTGAGTAGCTGCACTCAAAATTCTGTACATTGGCCCTTTAAGAGGGTGCCTACATTTCCAACTGTCTCTGCCTGGCGGAGAGTAATCCTGCTGCTTTTCACAGCCAGATGTTATGTGGGCACCTTTCTCAATTCTGGTGCTCTCTGCTGGAGGCCAAGCTTGGGGTTAGACCCTATGTTCTCAGTAGCAAACCCCCACAGATATCCTCTGGAACTTCAACTGCTAAGGGAAGCACAGCCAGCTCTTTCATGTCTCTTCCCTTCCTACCAGTTTCTATGCAATCTCCACTTTCCATCCTTGGTTATCAGTGTTCTCTCCAGCTAGTCTTCAATTGATTATTCAGTGTTTTTGTATTTTAGTTCTAATTCCAGTTTGGTCTTGAGATCATGTCTGTGTAGAATCCATTTACTCCACTGCCATTTTCCCTTTTACATTTAATGGTGGCTTTACTGAATTGTGTTGTTTCTTAAAGGGACAGTTAAAAGGATTTTATATCTATCATAACCCAGGAAAGCTGTCAATTCTTTGCCTATTTTTGTACCTGATTTTGTCAGGTGATTTTTAGAAGCACACAAAACTAATATTAGGTCATTTTTAGGTTACTTATTGTTTACTATAAAGTTGATGAGATGGTTTCTTATAAACATACTAGAGGCCCGATGCACAAAATTTGTGCAAAAGTGAGCCTTTGTTGGCTGTCAGGACCTGAGCTTTCCTCGCAGCCCTGGCTTCATCCGGAAAGACGTCTGGCCTAATTAGCATATTACACTTTTATTATTATAGATGCATCTTTAAGAGAGAAATATTTTGGTGGGGGAAACATTTTACATTTAGGCATATATAAAGATTCATCCCTTTTCTGGCCAATATTTGCAACATATAGCAGCTCAAATTTATTGGCTTTCTAAATATCGTCAATGGTCTTTTTCTTTATTACAGTTATCCTTGGCTATATGTCAGCAATTATTTACTGAATATTTAAATGTTTTTATGCTTACCCTGCAACTATTTTCTTATAATGAGGTACCAAGTTGGCTATATTACAGTTCCCTGTTATTCAATTTAGCTATTGCTCTCAAGGGATTTTGAAAATATAAAATCCCTAATCAATTCATTTCAAATAAGAAAAATTATCTGGTTGTCCTCAGTTAGAAGGTATTGAAAGCAAGACTGAGGCTTCCTCAAGAGATAAGAAATTCAGGCTATGGACAATAGCTGCAGCCCTTGTTCATGGAGTTCCATTCTGCTCATGACCTTCCCTTCCTGATGGCCTGCCTTGTGGGTTTCAGACTTATAGTCAGCCCCCAGAATCATGTAAACAAATACCTTATAAAAAATCTCTCTCTCTCTCTCTCTCTCTCTCTCTCTCTCTCTCTCTCTCTCTCTCTCTATATATATATATATATATATATATATCCTGCACCCTCTCCAATCTGGGACCACTTGAGGGATGTCTGACCGCCCGTTTAGGCCCAGATGGTCGAACATCCTTCTCACAACCCAGGACTGCTGGCTCCCAACAGCTCGCCTGCTTCTGCCTGATTGCCTCTAACCACTTCTACCAGCCAGCCTGATCACCCCCTAAACACTCCCCTACCAGCATGATTGATAACTAAATACTTCCTGGCAGGCCACATTGCCTCTAACTGCCCTCCTCTGCTGTCCTGGTCACCCCTAATTGCCCTCTCCTGCCAGTCTGGTTGCCCCTAACTGCCCTCCCCTGCAGGCCTGGGTCCACTTCAACTGTCTTCCACTGCAGGCCTGGTTCCCCCACAACTGCCCCTCACTGCAGGCCTGGTCTCTTCCCAACTGTCCTCCCTTGCAGGTCTGTGTCTCCCACAAGTGCCCTCCTCTGCCAGCTTGGTTACCCCCAACTTCCCTCCTTGTTGGCCTGGTCAACCTAACTGCCTTCCCCTGCAGGCCATTTTGTGGGAGCCATCTTTGACCACATGGGGTGGTGATCTGTAGAGTGATGGTCAATTTGCATATTACTCTTTTATTAGACAGGACTGCTACTAGCTATTCTTCTCTAAATTCTCAACTAATATACTGACCTTAGGACCACACAGTGTTTTCTTTACAAAGGAACTACCAACATATAAAACATTTGTGATTTACATAACATTATTAGAGAAAAGCAGAGTGTGTAGACTAAAACAGTTTTGTATGTAGCTCACTACAAGGCTCAATTTTCACTAATATTTAAGTAGCACTAATTTTTAAAACAACACTAATTTTATAACTTTAAGAACCTGATGTCTTATTCCATTACCATGTAATACATGTTCTTATTGAATGTTTAAAATATATACACTTTGTGCTCTTTAACAGAAAAATATATATATTTTAAAACAACCAGATTTCATCTATTATGTTTCAAGTTTATCCATTAAGTTCTTAAAGGAACACAATCTGGTATTACAAAGAGACTAATTACTTCTCTTGGTGAACTCAACAAGCTAAATTTCTACATGTTACTAAGAGAAAAATCTATGTTTACAGAAACACATGTAACTTGTTTCCTTAATAGCTATTTTCAGATAATTCATATTATTAATTCTTATATTTGAGATACACCCAAAAACCAATGTCCATAAATCTACTTGGCTCAAAAGATAAGAAGTATCATTGGATTAGATTTAGGAAATCTGGCTCTAATCTTAAGCATTCCACAAATAACTGTATAATGAGAAGGAAAATTCACTTAACCTTTCTGAGCCTACTTTCTGATTCAAAGCTAACATGTAATTATTAAATGACTACTAAAAGCCAAGCAGTTGCTAGACACTGGAGATATAACAATGGGCATGACAAAAACAGTCTGCGCCTTGAGAGGCTTAAATTATGGAAAGGTGAAGAGTCTGGGCTAAATTACTTTTAAATCTGTTCCACAGTTGACATTCTAATTTGAATGGGATTACATTCATATTGTGACCTGAGGTCAAACAACAATATTTCCAAATGACCAAAAAAACTATAAAGTATTATGGACTTCCCATGTGAAAAGTGGTAAATAACTTTTAAAATCAGAAGAAGGTTTCATATATTTATTCAGAAGGTGATTCAACTATAAAATGAAGCATTTTTAGCACTATGAAATACAATGTTTTGATTTGAAATCTTTTTCCCTGCAATTATTATAATTTTTATAATCCTGAAGAGATTCTCGTATCTGAAGTTTAAGCATTCAGATATTTTGCATGATGTCTGATGTGATCAGTAATAAAGGTAGCGATGAAGTAGTAGCTATGGTCATAACCCTAGAAAACAAAATAGAGAGATGATAAGACATTTATCCACCGTTCAGAAACACTGATAATAGTGACATTAAGTCTCTCATCTCACTTTGCTCATAAATAGCCAAAATATTATAATATGAAGCAGGTTTATAATAAAAATCAAGCTTTCACTGTACTTTAACATTTTCACTGAACATTAAAAGAGTGGCAAAAATACGAAGACAGCCCAGCTGGTGTAGCTCAGTGGTTGAGCGCCAACCTATGAACCTGGTCAGGGCATGTGCCCAGTGGGGAGCGTGCAGGAGGCAGCCAATCAATGATTCTTTCTCATCATTGATGTTTCTATCTCTCCCTCTCTGAAATCAATAAAAATATACTTTAAGAATATGAAGAAAAAGTCAACATTCTTTATAACCTTGTTTCTAGATGCTGCCATTTATATGCAAAGAGAGGAAATAACACATTAATTAAATGTACAGAGTAAACAAGGACTAAAAGAATCAGAATTTAGAGAACTTAGAAACACGGGTAAGAAGTTTCAACTCACAAAAGAAGTGCACTAACAAGGATAGGAGAGGGAATGTTAAAATACAAAATGAACATACATAAACAATATAAAGAACACAAAAATACCCAAAGATCGATTACTATTTGGGAAGCCAAATAGTCATCATAAATCTTATTAAGAATTCCACCTACACATTAAAAGCATATCATATCTCTTCTTAAGGAAAAAGGAACAATTCATTAAATTTTGACATCCTTCAGCAATAAATCAAACTGGGTAAAAAGTTAATAAATTCTTTTGAAAACTACTATAAAACAGAGAGAAAATGTAATGTGCCAGACAGTAGAGTTGAAACAAGCATCAATCTATCTCACATGTGTTAAACACAAGGCCCGCAGGCCAAATCCATCCCGCCAGGCCTTGCAATGTGGCCCGCACCGCGCTGTCATGCGTTTCCATCACAATGACAGTTTATGACTGTTCAGTAAACCATTCGGCCCGCGATTTAGGCTGGATTTTAGATTTTGGCCCCTTCTCTGATTGAGTTCGACACCCCTAATCTATCTGGTCAATTAAAACCATTGCTATAGGTTAAATGGAAAGGCAATCCTTCCTCAAACTTGGCTTCCAGTCGAGATGACAGTATAGGTAAATGTGGTACTCGCATCTTTCCATAACCACATAAAAATTACAACTAGACTACAGAGCAACATCATTGAGAACTGCCTGAAGCTTAGCTGGACAGAAGTCCTATAACTAAGGATTTACTGTACTCAAGACTAGTTAGTGGGGAAGACAAGGAATAGGCAGGTCTCACACCCCCATGTAGCGGATAAAAATCAGGAGGGATATCTCTGAAATTCCCCTGTAGAGTGAGGGGTCCTGGCCAGAGTGCAGGGTTTCAGTGCCAAAAGAGAACTCCCCATAACTTCTGGCTGTAAAAACCATTGGGGCTTATGGATGAGTAAGACAGAGGGCTGTTGGAACCCAAGGCATTCCTATTAAAAGGCATGCAGGAACTTACTCAGATTCACTTGCTCTGAGATACAGCTCTGGGTCAGCATCTCAAAAGGCACCAGGAACATATGAGGAACTAAATCACCAGGCTTCAGAAGGCTGGAGGGGCAGCTTTCTCCCTGACAAAAGTGCTAACAGAGGCCACTGTTCCCTTGCTGAGTCCTCCCCTGCAGGGGCAATAGCCGACTCTCCCCTCCAACCTCACTGGGTGATTCCTTGAGACTCTGCCCGCCTAACTTTTAGACCCAAGTGGCTTCCAGTGACTCTTCCATAAAAAAAAAAATGTCTTGACTCATGCTGTGAACTTCCCTAAAAATCTCTCAAAGATTCACAAACCCCAAACAAGCAGCATCTGGTCTCAGCATGCCCCATACCATAGCTAAGTGGCTCCAAGCCTGGCACTAGTGGCAATTATTTTCGGTTCCCCACCTAGCCTCTGCCAGATACCTCAAAGACCAGGATAAGTAGTACCTATATACAGATCACTCAGTAGCTCATGCTGGGTGGCCCAGGGCAGGACAGAGGCAGTGGCCTGCATCTCCCAGGAGGCTCAGAGTCAGCACATCTGGCTTCAGATCACACCAGAGCACCACCCAACACTCTCAAGGGAGTTACTTGATGGGCACCAGAGTCTTGCTAAAGTGAGTCCTGTTCCATGGGGTGGACTCAGTGAGAATTTTAATGAAGAGATAACATAAAAATGGAGATATATAACATAAAAAAAGAATAAGTCCAAAATTAAGAATATAATAAAACGAAGAATAAATTAGAGGGAATCAACAGTAAATTAAATAAAGCATAGGACCAAATCAGCTATTTGGAAGATAAGGTAGCAGAAAAACACCCAATCATAACAGCAAAAAGAAAAACTAGTCCAGCCAGCGTGGCTCAGTGGTTGAGTGTCGACCTCAATCTTGATGTTTCTATCTCTCCTTCTACCTTCCTCTCTGAAATCATTAAAAATATATTTTAAAAAAATAATCTATAAAAATGAGAATAATGTAATGAACCTCTGGGATAATATCAAGCATAATATTTGCATCATGGGGATGCTGGGAAAAGGAGAGATAGCAAATAATTGAAAACTTATTTGAAAAAAGAATGACAGAAAACTCTCTTAGTGAATGAAATAGACATACAAGACCAGGAAACAGAGAATCCCTTACAAAATGAACCCAAAGAAGCCCACACAAAAACACATCATAATTAAAATGCTAAAGGTTAAAGACAAAGAGAGAATCTTAAAAGCAGCAAGAGAAAGGCAGTTAGTTACCCACAAGGAAGCCCCCATGAGACTCAGCTGATTTCTCAACAGAAACTGTATAGACCAGAAAGGATTGTCATGAAATATTCACAGTGATGAAAAAAAAAAACCCACAAGGACTTATAATCAAGATTACTGTACCCAACAAGACTATCATTTAGAATTGAAAGACAGATGAAGAGCTTCCTAGACAAGAAATTGCTAACGGAGTTCATCACAACCAAACTTAGTATTACATGAAATGCTAAAGGGTATTCTTTAAGAAGAAAAAAAAATGATACAAAATATGAATAAAATGGCAACTATATATCAACAATTACTTTAAATTCAAATTGATTAAATGCTTCAATCAAAAGATATACAGTGGTTAAATGAATAAGAAAACAAGACCCTTGCATATGCTATCTACAAGAGACTCACTTTAGATCAAAAGACACACAGAGACTAAAAGTAAAGGGATGAAAAAATATTTTTCATGAAAATAAAACAAAAACAGCTGGGGCAGCAATACTTATACTAGACAAAATAGACTTTAAAACATAGGTTATTGGCTATCATCAATAATTCAACAAATGACAAGTGCTGGCGAGGATATAGAAAAAACTAAACCTTAGTACACTGCTGGTAAAAATGCAGACTGATGCAGTCATGGAAAACAGTATGGAGTTTCCTCAAAAAATTAAAAATGGAACTTGCATTTTACCCAGTGATCCTACTTCTAGGAATATATCTTAAGAAACTTGAAACACTCATTAGAAAGAACTTATGTACCCCTATGTTCAAAGCAGCACAATTTACAATAGCTAAGATTTGGAAATAGCCTAAGTATCCATAAGTAGATGAATGGATTAAAAAACTATGGTACATTTACACAATGGAATATTATGCACCAGTAAAAGAATATCTTATCCTTTGAGGCAGCATGGAGTGACCTGGAGAGTATAACGCTAAGTGAAATAAGCCAGTCAAAAGAAAGACAAGTATCACATGATCTCACTCATATCTGAATAAATAAACTGATGAACAAAAATAGACCCAGAGACACAGAAGCATGGAACAGACTGTCGAACTTCAGAAGGCAGGGGAGGGAGGATGGAAAGAAATCAAATATGCATAACCCATGGACACAGATAATGGGGGGGGGAGGGGCAGTGAGGAACTTATGTAATCCTTTCAACAATAAAGATAAAAAAGTAAAATAATTATCACTTTAATAGAACTGTACACTTGAAATCTATATATAGTTTTATAAGCTATGTCAAATTAAATGAATTGGTGCAATCTTATAATACTCACTTAATACTATAAGAAACAAAGAGGTTGAATACCTAGTCAATAAACCAATTACTTGATTTCTTATACAAAAATAACCAAAAAACAAAAAGGCTATAACAAGACAAAGAAAAACCCAGCAATGAGGAGAATCTTGAACCTAATAGATCTAGCACATGTGTCAAACACAAGGCCCGCGGGCCAAATCCGTCCCGCCAGGCCTTGCAATGTGGCCCGCACCGCGCTGTCATCACTGCACTCCGCTGCGTTTCCATCACAATGACAGTTTATGACTGTTCAGTAAACCATTCGGCCCGCGATTTAGGCTGGATTTTAGATTTTGGCCCCTTCTCTGATTGAGTTCGACACCCCTAATCTAGAGCTATTGTAGATCGATAGTAAGAGAAGGGGGGCGTGTGCCTCAAACAGCTGATAGAGATCTAGGTGGTGATGAAGGTTGGACAAAGAATTTTGTGTCACCCAATACAGATCTGAATTTCACTGAGGATGGAAAAGGCCCAGTGAACATTCCTGGATCTATCACAGAGGAGAGTGAACCGACTGACTTTTTATCCTTGTTTTTGGAGAATACTTTCTGGCAAAATTTGACAGAGAAAACCAAACCCCAGGGCCACCAATTGCATATAGCAAAACCCAACTCCTACAATGCCAAAAATTTCAAGGATGCCACAGTGGAAGAAATGAGGCTTTTCTTAGACTGAGGATCTATATGGAATACTTATGTATAAAACCCAGCTATCAGGATTATTGGACAAATGAGGGCTCTGACTTTGATGGATTTACTCCCGGATTTTGAAATGTTATGACTCGAGACAGATTCTTGGTCCTTTGGAGTTTTTTACACATAATTGATGAGGAAGACACAGATACCGATAAGACAGATAGAATATATAAAGTTAGGCCTTTCTTGGAAAGTGTGCTCCCCAAGTTTCTCCACTTCTCTCTGCCAAAGCAACTTTTGAGCCTAGATGACGGGATGATCCCAGCAAAAAACCACGTGGCCATCAAGCAGTATATCAAGGATAAGCCCACAGAGTGGGGCATCAAGTCTTTCCTTCTCTGTGAAGGTGAGACTGGCTACATTTTGAATGCAGAAATCTACACTGGTGCTGCACCAATGTCTATAAAAGACTTGGACACAGTAGGAAATACAGCCGTTCATCTCCTCACCTCATGTGCAATGGAAAATAAATCTTATGTGCTTGTCACGGACCGGTTATATAACTCTGTAACCCTTACTAAATATGCACTGTCAGAATTACACACAGGAATTGTGGGAACCCTGCAGTAAAATAGGAAGCAGTTTCCTACGTCGCTGAAAAGTGGAAAAAAACTTGCTAGGGGTGACAGTCGCTACCTATGTCAAGAAAGTGTAACATGTTTAGTTTGGCAGGATAGAAAGCCCATCACATTTATTTCGAACTATCACAATCCAGCCCAAAATGAGGTAATAAACAGAAGAAATAAAGATGGCAGTGTGCAAGAAATACAGATGCCACAACTGGTGAAGGACTATAATAAATATATGGGTGGCTGTGACAAAAATGACCAGATGACCCGCCTTCACCGTTCTCATTGTCATTACTGCTGACCCCGACGGCTTTTCCTAACTTTTTTTTTTTTATGTGGGCCAGTTATAATTCTTATATCTTGTATCCTTCAAAGCAGCAAGCTGCTTCAAAAAAGCCAGTTTATTTCACCAGATATATTCAGAAACTGTGCCTGCAACTTATTGGTGGATACAGGACATCAGCCCATTGCCATCCATAAAAGGAACCCTGCCCTCAATGGATAACCCCGGGCAATCATTTTCCAGAGATTCCCCCTGAGACATTGTCCAATCATATCTGTGTGTGTGTCCATGGAAAAGCACTCCAGGTACAACAAGCAAAATCCTGGAGTGTCTGACAAAGACAATCCATGCAAGAAGTTGAAGAGCAACATCTGGTGCTCACTTTGCAAGAAGTATTGTACCTGTGTGTGAAACAAGGCTCATCCTGCTGGGTGGATTGGCACACGAAGGTGGAATATTGGCACTAGATGAAAGGGAGACCTATTTTCTACAATGTCTCCAAGTTCCATCTTATTCTAACCACTTGTTTGCATGTAACTAACATTTTTCTATATCATGTTGATTTTCTCTCTTTAATGCTCCTCAGGAGCTCAGGTATAGGGGACAGTTAGGTTCAGGGCCTCAGGTCTGGTAGGGTTAACATAGAGTTAGGTGAGTAGTAAATAGTATTTTAATCAAGGAAACTTGCAAACAAACTGAAACCTAGTTATCATTCTTAAACAACTAGAAATACTAAGTAGCACAATATAAAGTACAAATGTGTGTGTCAGACAAACAATATAAAGCATTTGGGTCTAAGAAGTGTACATAAAATAAGCTGGAAGCTTGTCCTGCATGTATAAAGTAAGATATATTCAGTAATGTGGATGATTAATACTTCTTTTTAATACTTATTTAGAACAAGGTAAGATTCCCTAATACTTGCCTCTTGTAATCTAAAGACAACAGGGGTTTTCTTTTCCGCACAGGCAGCGATGAAGTTATCAGGCAGTAACTGTCCATCTGAAAGGAACTGGTCGTCTTTTCCTTGATCAATTAGTATGTCAAGCTGAGAACCTGGAAAGGACTTCACAAGATGAGTAGCATCATAAGCCTATGAAAAGAAAAATATTTAAAAATAAATCTAAAAGTGCCCAGAAATATTTATTTTTAGAATATACTATACTAGAACCAAATATAAATTTAAAGCAATTTAAACTCTAAGGCTGATTAAATTGGAAATAAGCTTTTAAGCTGACTTAAAAGCTGGCTTGTCTGGTTTTTATTTATAAAGTTTTCAGAATTCTTTCCCAATGATAGGCTCTTCCCTACTCTGAAGCAGACAAATACCAGTGATAAGAATTCTGTATCTCAAGCATTCTATAGAGTATAGCCTTTTTTATTCTAAACTCTCCAGTTTATTAGACTTTTAAAGATCAATCTTAAAATAGGGATCCATGTGTAAATGACCTTGAAAACACTCAAGTGTTTTCTACTTAACAGGCACATGATGAATTCATTTGTAAAATATTCTAAGTCTGGGTGGAGTCTGCAAATGGCTCATTTCTACACAAGAGTAAAATGAGTCTCAGGAGAAAGAACTATTTTTATTTTCATATTGAAGCATCTGCTCCTATGCTTGAAAAAGCAAGCTTGCTGCTATCAGGCGTCTTCAAACTACGGCCCGCGGGCCACATGCGGCCCGCAGAGGAGTCTGATCCGGCCCACCAGGTTTTTTGGGCAGTGAGCACAGCCGAGGTGTTACAGTAGGAATTAGTAGTTCATATAGTCCGGCCCTCCAGCTCTCTGAGGGACCGTGATCTGGCCCCCACTTTAAAAAGTTTGAAGACGCCTGAGAGGAATATGCAAATTAGCTGGGATGCCGTAATGTCATGACTGAACAGCAGGAACCTGAGGCTGCATAGCACCTGGCTAGGGTAAGGGACCTCAGGCCATGCTCCCAGCCCAGCGAGGCTTGACGGGGATCTCAAGCCCCACCCCTGCCCAGTGGGGCTCAACAGGGGACCTCAGCCTGTTTCCCTTCTCCCTAGTGCTGGCCTGGGGAAGAGAGACTGCACACCCCGCCCGGGGCTTGATAGGGGTGGGGCTGGAGGGGCTGGGTCTTCTGCATGTTTGAAGTGCGAGCAGGTGGTGGGCAGGGACTTGACTCAAGGACCCATGGTGTGCCCCAGACTCTGACAAGAGAAAGATTTTCATATACATTTTACTAATTTTCTTTAATCTCTGACACTTTTATTACAAAGGGAAAATAGCAATATTAAAATATTTCCTCTAATTAATTCCCTTTTAATGTGCATGAATTTCGTGCACTGGGCCACTAGTATTCTCATAAATGTACATTACACAATACTTACGTATAGCTTTTTCTTTTTAATTAAAAACTTCAGAATGAGTATTGAGATAGCCATCTGGTACCTACCTTCCACTTACTTTGATCTGTTCCCAAATATCCACTGAAGGCTTTTTTGCCCCAAGGACAAAGCACTGGATTGCAAATTGGAGCAAATGCTGACACAGACTTTAGAAACAAATAAATTTAAAAACAAGTTATATGTTGCTAAATCAAATATGAACAGATATTTGAAACTTGCTTAGAAACTCAAAACTTACTTGCAACTTGGTTATAACTCTGACTTGCCATAACTCCTATGAACAATTTTCATTTTGCTATATTATGAGTTTAGATTGTAAGATCTCTCCATAATATATCTTTTGTGTGTTCTATTAAGACAGCTAATAAACTACAGTTACTAAAATAATACAAAGTGATACATTACATTTTCAATTAAGTAATGCACAATGGAAGTTTATATTGAGATTCTACTCCTTTTCTTGCTTAAAATTAATGAGTAGTAATATGGAACAGATTATGCCGATGTTTCTGAACTCATTATTATATCTGAGACACATTATTTCTCTTAAACAGTGCCAAAAAAGCCCTGAACAATGCCATTAAATATGGCAGAATTTTTAATACAATATAATTTTGTGCACTATTGTTTGTCACTGGATAAAAATGCTAAGATGGAACCACTGAGTTTCAGAGTGTTTGTCAATGTTATGTTTATCCATGTCTACTATTTTTTTTAAAGGACAAAAACATTCAACCAAATTTGATTTTCTCCTTCAAACACAATAAATTTCATTGCTTTATGCACAAAAAAAGGAAAATAAAACCCTTGTTTTCTATCATGACATGAATTAATTCAATTTTATAAAGCTTACCAAAAGGAAAATATTTGAGCCCTAACCTGTATAGCTCAGTGGATAGAGCATTGGCTTGCGGACTCAAGGGTCCCATGTTCGATTCCGGTCAAGGGCATGTACTTTGATTGTAAGCACATCCTCAATAGGGGTGTGCAGAAAGCAGCTGATCGATGCTTCTCTCTCATCGATGTTTCTAACTCTCTATCCCTCTCCATTCTTCTCTATAAAAAAATTAATAAAATATATTTTTGGGGGGAAAGAAAAAGAAATATATTTCTTAACAAAGCAAGAAACTGCTATGAGAAATATTTTCATTTCTCAGTGGCACACACAAATGATTAAGAAGTTCTTCCTAAGGGAAATAAATGGATTAAATATATCTTGAGGTCTCTGATAGTCTTGTGATTCTAAAGATAGAAGCAATCTTAAGATGACCATTGCTTCAAGATTTCCTTTTTCCATTTTATGGTATGCTGTGATGCACAGTATAGCATTCTACATACAGTGGTTATTCCAATTTGGCTTAACAAACAACAAAAAGTAAAGCTTGCCCTAACCAGCTTGGCTCAGTGGATAGAGTGCCGGCCTGTGGACTCAAGGGACCCGGGTTCGATTTTGGTTAAGGGCATGTACCTTGTTTGAGGGCACATACCAATAGGGAGTGTGCAGGAGGTAGCTAATCAATGTTTCTCTTTCATCGATGTTTTTAACTCTCTATCCCTCCCCCTTCCTCTCTGTAAAAAAAAATCAATAAGATATATTAAAAGAAAAAAGTAAAGCTTAAAATAAATAAATAGGAAGGCTGAGAGTAATAGTTTTCAATCAAGCTGCATTCCAATTTTCATCAGAGGCATTAAGAATCGAGAATTTGTACATTTTTACAAATCATGAATAAATTCTCGCTCCACAAATCTCAATCAAACTTCACAAAAATATTCGTGGTAAAAATATAAGTACATGATATAATATTTATCAAGAATAACCTTTAGAAAAGAAAATGCCTAGAAAACTATAGTTTGAATTGAAGCAATAAAATGATACAATTTTTAATGCTTCTAGTAAACCCACAAGAAACCACTGTGATTAAATTTTTATGCTTCTGCATATGTAGCATACATTGTGTGGTCAAAATTAATACTCCTCCCCTACAACCTCCTGAAATTCCCAACACTTCTAGAATAGTCCCAGTACTATAATAATACCCTAACTTCAATCTTTGAAAGTTCTTAATATTATATTATCCAAGAGACATATTTGTCACTAGAAGCTTAGGTAATCTTACTTTGTATTTTCCAGGATTCTTTAAAGCACAAATCAGAGCTCCATGGCCTCCCATGGAGTGGCCAAAAATAGACATCCTTTGGGGGTCCACTGGAAAATTGGCATTTATGAGTTGAGGAAGCTAAAGAAGATTTAATAGTGTGACAAGAGATATAAGAGAAAGTTCAAACTTTTTCAGTTATATAAAATTATACAATCAATAGTGCTAAATCACAGTCTTACAATGGTATGAACTATTAAAGTTTTTTTTTTTAATCTCAGGTAGACAATGGTAATTAATATATCACTGGAGAATATATGCCATATCTTTCTCAGAAACCAACTTTAAGAAGATGCATAAAGAACCTTTAAAATGTCCTAAACTTTTGACCTAGCAATTCTATTGCTTGGAATAACTCTTAGGGAAAAAGTCCTTAAGGGAAAAGAATTATACAAAAAGACAATCAACAAAAAAATATTTATGATGTCACCATATACAATATATCCTACATTAGGACATAGTAAATTATGGCATATGACAGCAATTATTAAAAATATGTTATAAATAAATATTGAAAAATATTTATTTTTTCAATTAAAAAAATAAGATAAAAAATATTTTACAATTATAGAAAAACTAATCATACCAAAATGTGAAATATACCAAACACAGCCATTATTTGGAGTGATAGGATAATGGGTGACTTCCATGTTATTGTTTCTGAGTTTTTATAATATAGCATATATTAACAATTAAAATCATATAAAATTTTTAAAAATGCATAATCTAAACATAAATATTAATAAAAGTAATGTTTTACTACTTATCCTTTCTAACTAAGCCTTGATTAATTACTATAAAATTTCTGAATGAACCAGTTGCTAGAGAAATAAAAAATTTTTCATAAACTGTTTTCTTTGTGTAACCTGGGCAGTACACATAGATACCAATAGGATTATTAAACTCTTTAAAATAATATTTAGTGTTAACTTAAATGGCAGTAAATAGAATGATAATACCAGTAAACCTTGGAACTTTCACAAGATAAAAAATGTGTAGAAAGTAGATTCAACAATACCATATCCTAGTTTAAAATTCTCAGGACTAGAAGGATTTTGTATTCAAAATCAAGTGTTTTGGCAGTCAAGGATTAATAATTACAATATAAATAAAATTACCTCCTCCGTTACATAAGAATACATTCTGTAGTTAGTTTTCCAAGGATGTTCAGTGGCATCCACGTAAAACCCAGCACCAGTGCCAAAGTCCCAGCTCTCATCTTCTCCTTTAATATTGCAGCCACCTATCAAGGAAAACTTGTGGTTTCATCTACTCTGTAGTAATGGTCCATGTTTAATTGCAAACTTTTAAATGAATCTGAACGTTCATTTGCTTTAAAGCTGTTAGCCAGATATTGTGGGCCTCTCTTCTTTGCCTTTTGGGGCACATACTTCCTGACCCTCTTGAGTGAGGCCATGTTCTAGCCAATGAGGTGAGAGAAAGAATGCCCTTCCAGGCTAGGTATTCACCGCCAACATAAAGCACCTGGCATTGATGGTGAAGTTCCCCACCTATACTTCCTCACTCAGTTTTACTTGTCAAAGGGCTCACAACCTTTTTTTTAATTTCAAAAATGTGCTGAGATTCCTTCTCTGATGACCCTCGCCCTTAACCAACACTTCCTATAATTCTCTTTATCACTTAGAAGTGACAGGAGACAAATGCTTCGTTCAACTTATTATCATGAACTCAGAGTGTCTCACGTACTTTGGAATCATTCCTCATGTTTCCCCTATTTACCCATGCCTCATTGGGATTTTCTTGTATTCCTTTCAATTTATTAGGATTTATTCTATATATTTAGATGTAGCTAAAAAGCCAACCATTAAAATTTTGAATAGAATTAGAGTAACAGGTAGAGTAACTCAAAGGAAATGACCTTTGCAATATTCAGACTACCCTTCCAGAAACATAACAATTTTCCAATTATTAAGGTTTTAATTTGTGATCTTGAGTAAACTTCATCATTTAAAAAATAAATATTCATAGATTTAAAGTTTATGCCTAGGCATTTTATATTTTTGATGCTATGTTGAATTAAATGTATTACATTTCTAGTGAGACATGTCTTGCTCTGTGTAATATAGCCTGTGAAAGGAAATGCACTACTTCCAGAGTTTCAACTGGCCTTTAAATTCCATTTCCTGAGACTTCCCGGGCCCACAAAAGAAGTTTTAACTATCTGATGGATTAAGCTAAACAATGTTTAATATCCTCTCATGTAAACATTTTAGACATTTATATTAAAACTAATCCTTTTTAAACTGTATGATTATTTGATGACTAACAGAGATGAAAAAAGACATAATTATCATATGATAAGACAGTTTACCTATATAATACAAAATGTATATAACATGGTATTTTAGAGTCATGGAGTCATTTGAAAGATTAATAGAGATATAGCAAATATATGAAATTAATTTTATAGTGTATATAATATCCCACTTATAACTTAGTCTTAGATATTTATATTATTTACAAAGTACTTGGGAACAAGAACACTTACGAGGACTGGTATCTGGAGCAATGACAACAAGGCCATGTTCTGAGGCAGCCTGATGATAACCAGATTTTGATATAAAATTCTGTTCTGTGCAAGTTAAACCTGAAGATCAAAAATACTGTTACCTCATGCTATACTGCAAGTGATTTAGAAGCTTAAATATTTTTATAACATAGAAAAAAATCTCACTAGATATTATCAAAATGCTTTTTTTTAAAAAAGAAATAACTCTAAAGAAGATGCTTAAAGTTCCCTTCTCATAAAATTTATAACAGTATTAATCTAAGACCTGAATTACTGTTAAGTGCTCCCTTAGCTGTTCTTTGAAAGTCACTCATTAAAGCTTCAATCACTAAAATCATTAGGGTCAGATGCATTTGGAAATACAGAAATTTTCAAGCTGTAGAATAGCAATATGGCACATAGAACCAGTGTTATAACAACCCAGTGCAATGTTATCAAAAATGCTAATGAAATGTTACTATTTCCTCATTAAAACATAAATATTCACAGTGAGAAAATAGTATGGTAATCATAATACAAATAACTTAATATTTTTATAGACAAGTAGTTCACAGCAACAAAATTCAGCCTAATCATCCCTGTATTCCTCAATGTACTAAGAAGAGGGTAATAGCTAATACCACATACCTTCCTTAAATTGAGTTTAAGTCTATTCTTACAATTGTTTCTTCTATTTTTCCTACCTCTAAACTTTTCAGTAATATGACAGAAGAGATGATTTACTTCTCTTACTATGAGAGTCTGGCCAAGATGTGAGAATGGCCAAGAATGAACTGGCAGTAGATGCCTGAGTCTAAAAGCACGTAACCCAACAGCCCTTTTCCAGTAGCGAATGATAAATATCCCACTATACCTGATAATTAGCACTGTCAAAGCTTACTGATATGCATGATGCATGAGTAACTACAGAACACTTTTATAGTTTCTACTTATCCCCTAATAGCAGCACAGACTTATGGACTGATTGCCTAATCAAGATTTGCTAAATTAATAATTTTTTAGAAATAATTATAAAAAAAGATGCTGAAAACCCTTTCATAAAATTCATAACAATATTATTCTAAGATTTGTCTTAGGTTAAATGCTCCCATAGCTGTCCTGTGAAGGTCATATAGAGTTACAAGTATCATTGGATAAAGTGTTATGGAAGTTTATGGTTAAATAAACTATCAGGATATACAAACTTTCTCTAGTCATGGCAAGAGAACAAGATCCTTTCTGTCTACCATGTTCTCTTTTAGCACATCTTCCAGAGATATGAAAGCCATATCATGAAGAATTGCTCCAAATACAGATAAAGGGTCAATAATTTTGCTGACCTGAACATAAATATATTCAAAAGAGGAAGGATAATAGTGTAAAAACATGGGTTTTGGATTTCAGAAAGGATCTGGGTTCCTCATGTCACACAACCACTTATTATTAAACAAAACCAGGAAAGGAACTCAAATATTCAGAGCATCAGTTTTTTTTTCATTTAAAAAATGGGCATAAGCCCTAGTTGGTTTGGCTCAGGGGACAGAGCGTCGGTCTGAGGACTGTAGGGTCCTGAGTTCAATTCTAGCCAAGGGCACGCACCTTGGTTGCAGGTTTCCTGGCCCTGCTCGGGGTGCGTGCAGGAGGCAACCAATCAATGTGTCTCTCTCACATAGGTGTTTCTTTCTATCTCTCCCTCTCCCTTCCACTGTCTCTAAAAACCAATGGAAAAATATCCTCAGGTGAGGAGTAACCAAAAAAAAAAAAGAAAGAAAAATGGGCATAATATTGTCTATTTTTACTTCATAAAGCAATGTGAGGATTAAATGTGTTAGCATGTTAAGAGCTTTGAATTGTGTCTGGTACACAATGCATAGTACCTTGCACTAAGGAAATGTAAATCTGTTTAGAGATCAGAGAGAAAAAAATGTTTTCCTAATTAGAACACAAGTCCCTCTATTAAAGCAGCAGTGACTGAATTGTAGATTAATAGAAATGAAGATATTTATGTTAATAGTATTACTCTCAGGAGTCTGGAGATGATTACTACTTAATATCTACTTGGTAAACTGCACTTATTTTATATGAAGAGACGGCGTTTTTTGTTTGTTTGTTTTTGCAACAGCTTTATCGAGGTACAATTTGGATGCCATACAATTCACCCATTTAAAATGTACTACCTCAGTGATTGTTAGTATATTTATAATTATGCAACCATCACCATTATCTAATTGTAGGATATTTCATCACCCCTGAAAGAAATCCCATACCCATTAGTCACTCCTATTTCTTCCAACCTTAGCCCCAGGTAACTACATACTACTTTCTACTTTTATGGATTTGCCCTAGCCAGTTTGGCTCAATAGAGCCTTGGCCTGCAAACTGAAGAGTCCCAAATTCGATTCCAGTCAAAGGCACATGCCTGGGTTGTGGGCTCAATCCCCAGTAGGGGGTATGGAGGATGCAGCCAATCAATGATTCTCATAATTGATGTTTCTATATATCTCTCTCCCTCTCCCTTCCTCTCTGAAATCAATAAATATATTTTTAAAAAGTTCTCAAGTTTCATCCACAGTATATGTAGCATATATGAGGACTTTATTACTTTTTGTTTTTGAATAATGGATAGACCACATTTTATTTATAATTTCATTTATTGTTGAACCTTTGATTTGTTTCCACTTTTTTGCTATTATAATCTATATATATAAAAGCCTAGGTGACCAGTAAACTGGTCACTATGACAGGAGGCAGACGTTCAATGGTCACTATGACAGGAGGCAGATGTTCAATGCAGGAGCTGCCCTCTGCTGGTCAGTGTGCTCCCACAGCACAAGTGCTGCTTATGTGATGGGCACCAGACACCAAGCTCACAGCTGGCGAGTGCAGCTGCAGCCTGCAGGGATTGAGCCAAAACCGGCAGTCTGACATCCCCCATATTGCGAGAAGGTGCAGGCCAGACCGAGGGACCCCACCAGTGCACAAATCCATGCAACAGGCCTCTAGTGTATAATATAATGCATGAACTTTTGTGTGCAAGTTTTTGTATGGACATGTTTTCAATTCTCTTGGGTATCTACACTAATAAAAGAGAAAGATGCAAATTGACTGTACCCTCACGATGTCCATCAGCCAATCAGGAGTGAGTATGCAAATTAACCCAATGAAGATGGCAAGTTAATTTACATACACAGGTGCTAAATGGCCAGGGGTGGGGAGGAACACCTGCATTGTCGCCATGGTGACAAGCAGGCATTCCACACCACCCCAGCCACTCCAGGCCTCTAGGCAGTGTCGGAAGGCAAAAAGGCGGCTCCAGACCAGAGCAAAGGCAAAAAGGCAGCTCCAATCCAGAGCAAAGGCGGTGCTGGCAGCCAGGGGAAGGAAGGCATATTCTGGACGAATCCAATGAAAGACTGTTTTGATGGTCAGATGCAATACAATGAATCCAGACCACCTTCTAGAATTGCACTAGAATTTCTTAAGTGTACTAGTTAATCTTACCTTATTTCAGAAAATCAAGCCTTAATTTCCAAGATATATCTGTTCTTCAGCATCTCACTAAGGAAACTATCCAATTATTTCATGTAAATTTAAAAAATTCTGTTTTTTATACTCATGAAGCTCAATGTTTTGTCTTAATGGATTTAAATCTTGGTTAGGAATTTAGGGTCTTATTAATATAGTACCTATTATACAACACCTGATACTTCTGATCTGGTATATTACTCTTTTAACCAAGAGATCTGACTTTAGATGATCTTATCAGAAACAAAAAGCAAAAATAACAGGAGAAAGGACTAAATACAGCTCTGGACCATGAATTAGAAAACTTGTTCGCCCTGTTAAGAGATCTTAGTTGTTATAACTTCACTGGGCCTATAAAATAGCTTACATGATTTGGAAGATCATCTTTAGCTATGTTTCTAAAACAAGTAAACATGTAGTTTTGTTATTACTACTTTTGGAAATACCCAATATTCTTCTAGCAAAGCAGTTTGCTTTTTTTCTATCATAGTAATGGGCTGTTGAGTTAAAATCAGATATGCACTTAATTTTTGCCATTTAAAATATCCATTCTAATTTTTAAAGACTGGTATTTAGGGTTATACATAAGAAACCATACATAAGAGAGGATTTATTAAGTTATAAGAAGAAATTTCAAGGAAACAAAGATAGCACTCTGTGCCATAATTTGGTTTCTGCATCTCTCCTTGTAATGTTTGCTTCCATAGATGAAGTGCCAACATCTTGTAAAAGAAAAGTTAGCACAAAGGTCAAAACTACTGATGGCAAAACCTTAACTCTCTCAAATATCCATTTTAAAGTCTTTAATATTCACCTGATTAAGAAGCATTACTATTATTTGTAATTTTTCCAAACTATTGCCAGAAAAGACCCATGGAGTCTAATTAAAATATTCCAGACAACAGGATAAAAAATTACTTGTCTGTAGTTCCAAATTAGCGTGTCATTGGTGTCCTGGTTTAACCTTAATATTGTTCTATGTGAGTGGTAAAATCTCTACAAGAAATACGTGGGTAGGTAGGTATAAACTAGGTAAGTAACTTTTCTTAGCTCTTGCTATTGAGTCCAGAAATTTACATTCTGTTAAATTACTTGGTTTAACTGAAAAAGAAAGTGAAATACATTGGGGGGGACACACAATGTAATAAATATAGAGATGATATACACTTGAAGCTTATATAATTCTATTAAGTGACTAGCAGCCCTGCGCAAGAATCCATGTGCCACAGCTCCAGCTGCCCTCCTGTAGCTCCCTCTGCACACCCCCTCCCCCCCAATAGCTTGCTGCCCTGCCCCCTCCTATAGCTCTTGTAGCTTGCTGCCCCACCCTCCTGCTGATGCGTGATCCGGTCCTTACATGGTCGGTAGTTATGCTTTATGGAATAACAACCATTTGCATATTACATCTTTATTATATAAGATGTCACCTCAATACATTTAATTTAAAAAAGTAATTTTTTAAATGTGATTTTGTATTTAGTAAAATAGCTTTACTATTTTTGTGGGGGTGGTGATATGTGTATAAAACATTACTGTATGAAATCTAGCTATAATTTTTAGTCATGCTATTTTATGATTACATGAAATTTAATCTATCATCCTTCTAGTAAAAAAATTGCTGACTACTGAGCCTTAATATTGTATCAAGATCTTCCCTGGGACAGATATTGCCAGGGAAAACCATGTCCTACTGTTTTTCGTTTTCCTCTCCCTAGAATTTTTAACAGGTAAAATTAAAACAGAAGTGAAATAAATGTAATTCAGTTGGCATGAAATTATTCTCAGGATAAAGTAAGAGTAAACTATGACAGTTTCCTAAAGCCTTATATAAATGGCTCAGAAAGCAAACTAGTAAGTCAAGATAAATGAGTAAAAATAAATGAGCCAGTGAAAAAGAAAAATAAATTCTATTTTAAAATTCAAATACTTAATACTTACCAGACAGCCAATACAGAGCAGGGCATTTTCCAGTTTCTGCCTTTGGTGGCAAGTAGATAGCAAATTTCATTTTGCAGTTCAGTTCAACACTGCAATTTTAACAGTCACACACACACACACAAAATCAATGATCCTCATCAGTCAAGACAGAAACATAAATGATTTAATGCCCAAAGTAATTCATTCCACCAATGTTAAGGAATGAACCTTGTCCCTTAAAGAATGAGGCTAACTTAGGTTAGTGATTTATCAACCAACCTGAGCCTATTCTGTGCACAAAAACACAGTCATTTTGGCCAGAATAAATTTTAAAAATAATTTTAATATGCTCATTGTACCACTAATATTAAAACAAAAACTGTTTCTGTTCTAAAATGATGTATAAAATTTCATGAAAAAGTTATTCTAAAAATATTAAATTTTATGTTCACTCATGGGCACTGAAATGTACCACATCCTTAATTTGCTCTTTATCACTAATATTTTATTAAAATCACTACTATCAAGGCTGATAATTTTCATTGAAGAAACAACATATTTTGTCCATGTGAACAGTAATTTATGCAACAATAACCTTTCATGGGCTTAAAGAATCAAATGGATGGAAGAAGAATGAGAGACATACAAAAGTGTATCTTCTTAGTGGTTACCTGTCATGTTCAAAAACTTTCTGCAATCCCCCAAAGCATTTGTTGCTGGAAATCTGTTTCAATGCCATTCTTTTCCTATTAATAAAGATTAAGTAATCTCATTAATTTCTATAGAATTAGTTCCTGAAAAATTTGAAAACTGTTTTCAGATAAACTATCGAATCATACAAGTGTTTTTTTTTTCACCTGGACTTTTCCTCACATGCTAATTTTCTCTAGTAAATAATACTAAGAAACTAACTTTCATACACACATTTTTACTTGTTACTACTTTAAAAAACTTTAATACTTTGGTGTGTTATTATCAATTTATTAGCAAGTGCTTTTTGTGTTTGTGTGGACTATACCAAATTCTTTTCAGAAGGAGGCAGAATATAAATAAGTAAAATAGAACCAAAGTCATAGAAACATTGAACAGACTGTCCAATCTATGAGGGAAGGCAGGCAGGGGTGTGTGTGTGTGTGTGTGTGTGTGTGTGTGTGTGTGTGTAAAAGATCAATCAAAGAACTTGTTTGCATGCATGTGAGCATAACTAATAAACACAAATGGAGGGAGGAGAAGATGGGGGTGGAGGTGAGGGCATGTGCTGGGAGGTGGGGTAGCCAGGGAGTGGTCAATGGGGGAAAAAGAAGACTTATGTAATAGTTTAAACAATAAAGAATTTAAAATTTAAAAAATAATAAAAATAAATAAATAAAAATACAGCTTGTCATAGGGAAATTCTGAAGTTTGGTAATTATTTTCTCTCCAACAAATCCTTTAAATTTTCATAAATAATATTTAAATGTTAAAATACCACACATTATTAATTTTTAAAAATAAACTTAAAAATTGGAGAATCACCTTTATCAATAAGTGCTTACTGAGCAAAGAGGAACCAGACTAACTCTGGTTTGTATTTCTCAAGAAAGGATTTCCTTTCCCTCAAAGGTGGTCTTTTCAGTAAAAGGTTCTGTATGCTGATTAGATGCAGAACTAGGGTTATTCCTCAAAAATATGTAATAAAAACATCAAAAAGCTAATTTTGGAAATGTCTTTGCAAAATTCTAAACAAGATTAGTTTCAATCCTACCTTAAAGCAACCCCCTCAATAAATCCAAATACTTAGATTTGCATTGGAAAGCTGGGATTTGAACCAGAAAGATATCAGAGACTCTGCTGCTATGTTCTCCTGCCTCCCTAGATCAGTAAACGGTAAACTCATTAGTCAACAGAGCCAAATGTCAACAGTGCAACACTGAAATTTCTTTTGAGAGCCAATTTTTTTTTAACTTAAACTATATAGGTAGATACATTGTTATTAATTTAATTAGGGTACTCCTAAGCTTGCCTTTGCTAAAAACTCAAGGGGCCAAAGAACTGCATGTGGCTGGCGAGCTGCAGTTTGCCGACCACTGCCCTAGATGGTTTTTAAATACTCTTGTTTTTTAGACACTCTAACTAAGATCGACTAATTTTATAGTATTAAGGTACTACAATTATAGAGACATAACCTTCTATTCATAGACTTATGCTTTTAATCTATAAAGGATAAATTCTTAAACAACAAACTGCTCACTAGATGATTCTGAATATTAACTTCAGCTACTCTTGCTCAAGATCCTATCTTAAATAATGAATAGATACATTAATGATGTGCTGAATTATTCTACAGGGAAATCCTATTTTCTTAAACCTAGCAGCGACTATGTCTGCTTCTTCCCCAAAACAGAGTACACTGAGTCTGTATCTAATACATAAGAGTTACTAATAATTATTTATTGAGTTAATGAATGATTAAATTTTAATTTCTTACTACCTATTATGTGAAAGTTTTAAAAGTTAGTTTGTCCTGCCCTAGCTGGTTTGGCTCAGTGGATAGAGCATTGGCCTGCAGACTGAAGAGTCCCAGGTTCAATTCTGGTCAAGGGCACATGCCTAGGTTGCAGGCTCCATCCCCAGTAAGGGGCGTGCAGGAGGCAGCCAATCAATGATTCTCTCTCATCACCCTCCTCTTCCTCTCTGAAATTGATAAATTAAAAAAACAATTAAAATTAGTTTGTCCTTTATCATTCCATACTTTGTTATTCATTTTAATAAACTATAACTAGTCTATTTCCTCTGGTTTTTATTCAAATTCAGAATCAGATACTTTCCACTTGGTCAGAGAAAACAAAGTAAAAATACTGTTTTTTAAATCTGTAAAATGAATAAAAAAATAAATAAAACCTTTACATGTTTTTTCTCTCTAACAATCCATTTTAGAAACTACTGTCAATTATAAACCAAGAAAAAAGTCAGGTTCATTAAGAAATATGACATAAACTAAGAACTACATATAGTATGATTTATGATATGACACACTAGGTAATTTACATTTTTCATTAAAAAATTTTTATGAGCAAAATAATGTTTCAAACCAAGTCATTAGATTTTTCATTCAACTTCAAAGTAACATACAAGATATAAAACTTAAATTACCTGTCCAATTGCTAATTGCTCTTTTTCTGTACCAAAAAGTAAATGATCCTGGAAAAAAACACGTGTTTTATAAACAGGACAAATCTGTTTGGCCCAAGAACTGTAGGGTCAACTCTTATTGAAGCTAAATGCCATCCACCTCCAGTAATTGGTTTTTTTGCATTTTTACACATTCTTTCCTTCTTCCCATGTAGTGTTTTTGCTCCTGTTCCCACACTCCCTGATGTTGATCCATTGATTTGCAGTGTCCACTCCACGGGCTCTTAACCTACACACAGCTCTCCCCAGCACCACCGGACTGTGGGCCAGCCGGCGGGCGCCGGGGCTGGTGAATTCATATATTGCTTCCACCGCGGGCTGTGCTAACACAGACAGATGTTGTCTCCCATTGTCCCCACAGCCTCAAATAACCTCCTATCACGGCTGCTCAGAGGCCTCTCTCAATGACGCCATCAGAAATGACGCCAAGGCCACAGCAGAACTCAAACAGGCATCTGCAACACAAACAAGCGTTGCAAAGAGTCGCAAGTGCCTCCGGAGATGCGGGTCCCCGTAACCCGGTGCGCGCCCCTGTCCCCTCCGCGGCCCCGGAATCCCGAGCCGGCAGCGGGGCGCTGAGGCTTCCGGCTGGTCCCCTCGGTAACCGGCGCCGTGCACCGCAGGCGGGGCAGGGCGGAAGGGCCACGGAATGGGAAGCTCGTGGGCTGCAGCGGCGCGGCGCCCTGACACTCCAGGGCTTGCAGGGACGCGGGGAACTGGGGACCCGGCGCTGCGCCTCCGGACAAAGTCCTCCTCGCAGAGCTCGTGCTGCGGCCCGGGCTGCGCAGCAAGCGGGCCGGGGCCGCTGTATGGGCGCTCGCACCCGCGGACCCCGCCGTCCTCAGCCTCCGCCCCAACCCCGCCGGGTGGCCGGTGCAGCCCCGGCCCCGCAGCCCCGGCCCGGAGAGCCCAGCACAGCATTCGCAGAGCACACCAAGTCTCACCTCCAGCGACAGCTGCTGGAATCGAAGTTGGAGTCGGAAGGCGGGGCCTCAACATGGCCGCTGGGGCCCGAGCCTGGGCCCGCCCCTCCGGACCCACCCACCTCATCTAGTCCGCCCGCGGCCCCGCCCACCTGGACCCGCCCCTCCAGACCTGCCCACCTCACCTCAGCCAATCCGCCCGCGGCCCCGCCCACCTCATCCAGTCTGCCCGCGGCCCCGCCCACCTCATCTAGTCCGCCCGCGGCCCCGCCCCGCAGGCCCCGCCCCCGCAGCCCCCGCCCCTACCTCGGGTTGCCCCCGCAGCCCCAGGGGCGGCTCCGCCACCAACTGCTGCTCTCAGGGGTCTACACATCAAAGACTTACCTAGTGGATAGTGCAACATCTTCCCAGAGGCAACAGGAAAACTAGTTTGGAATAAACCAGAGTTCTGTCCCAGATTAACTGATGGACAAGGTTTCCACGTGAAGTTATTTGGAAACTAGGACATCATTTCAAGTCTGCTTCCCACCCAAAAACCCACAAAAAACCTTTCCAGTACACCCACTTGGTACCTGGAGTTAAGGGCCATTTTAAAATCCCTGGAAACATAATAAGCACTCCACCAATATCCTTTTCTCCCTTCTCTCAATGAAAGTTAGTTGAACTGAGTAATGGTTGCTAGTTGATGGCTTACAACAAATCTTCCCTTGGCCCTTTTCTTCTTTTGCTTGGTTTAACTGATTGAGTGTACTTTGCCAGTGGAGAAAATGAGTCTAATTACAGAAAAGCTTAAAAAAAATTTAACCAACAGCTTAGACTCACAGATTGTAAATAATATAATCTGAAAGGCAGGACTAGTTTCATGGGTGTATACTCTATGTAGTAGAACAAGATTCCTGCATTTGGTTTAATTTTCTGGTTGGATTCTTTCCTATGCCACATTGTTTATTGTTTTTTAACAAGGGGCCCATATTTTCATTTACACTGGGCCCTGCAAATTGTGGGACTGATCCTGCTGAAAGGACTGGCAGGTGAATGACCTCTATGGAAGCTGACAAATTACCTCACAGAATCAGTTTTGTGGCCCAGGCCTGAACCTGTGGACCTGTGGATCGATAGGGACTCAGCCTGTAGATCAAGCATGTCAAACTCAAAGGCTTATACAGGCCAAATAAACAAGGTTTAAGTTTATGTGGGCCATAAAACACACACACAAAAGCAAAAACAAAAACAAAAAAAACTTCAATTTTCATAGAAAGCAGGTTTATTTCAATAGAGACATGCTGAATACAAAGGGCTGGAATAAACAGGTAATCGTTAACATAAACTAATAGAACATTTTAATAAAAATTAATATTTTTTCTTGAGCATTAACTTATCAGACATTGAATAACTACACAAATTAATAAGTGTAATGCAAATAAACCTATTTTTCTTGTTCTCCAAAAGCAAAATATTTCCTGCTGTGCACACCAAACAAGTCAGTCCAAGACTAACGATGTGGCAATCGGCTGCTAAAATATTCGCTGCTAGTATTATTAGAGAGAAAAGGTGCGCCTGTGTATAAGGCGCATAGGGAAATGAATGCAACATGATTATAATAATCAGTCATTAGTGAATGCTGTAGTTCATTATTAATAACTAGAGGCCAGTTGCATGAAGATTCATGCAATAGGCCTTCCTTCACCTGGCTGCCAATACCAGTTTCCACCAGCACCTGGGATCCAGCTTTCACTCTGGCCACCACCTTCCAGCTTCACTAACTCTAGCTGATGTCTGCAGGCTTCACTCAGACCACTGCTCCTGTAGCTTTCTCTGCCCTGCCCTCCTCCTCATAGCAGATGTCCTGTCCTGCCCAGCTGCTCCACGCATGGAGCAGCTGAGGGACAGGGCTGCCGCCATCTTTGTCCTGCTAATTTGCATATTCCCTCCCGTTCGGTTGGTGGGTATCATGGAAGTATGGTCAACTTACATATTTCTCTTTTATTAGTGTAGATTATGTATAACAGGATATTATAAAAATTAAGTTATGAAATTTTTATTAAAACATTTCTTATCTACTGTTATATTCTCTGGGCCTCAAAAATATTTGTTATGGGCCCCGAGTTTGACTGTTTGCTGTAGATAATATGTATGTGTGGCAGGATAATAAGAAGTTAGGGAAATTCTTGGATAAGGGGAAACTGAAATAAGGAAATTAAACAGGCCAAACAATTTTGGCAGCTTGCACCCATCTTGTGAATTAAAAGGCCTTATCTTCCCCAACCAAAGATGCTTTTGAGAGCAAATGGTTTGTACCTTTCTCCCTAATTTAAATTGCCCTGGCCTAGGTAAATAGAGAACAAAGACCCAATTAATGCCACTTGTGCCATCTAAACTCAAGGACAAATGAAGGCTGGGGAACAAGTAACAAAAATCCTGAAAGCATTTGGATGCTATCCCTTAGGGGTATGTTAGGCAGAATAGATAGCTGCTAGGGCAGGAGGTGGGAAAAAGGAGAAAAGGGGAGTTTATCTCACCCACTGAACAAAGAAGTCACAGTCTTAGGACTTGCCAAGATAAAAATCATCATGTGTTCTCATAAATTCTGGGAAAAGTTGCAACAATGTAAAAAGGGGGACTTTGAAATCTAGTCTATCCAGCAGGGGAACCTTGAAACTTATAGGGAAGAAAAGTATAAAACCCTTGAATTCCCCCTTCCCAGACAGGGCACTCAGACTAGCTGAGTTGCCCACTGTGCTTTATGCCAAGGGTATTATTAATAACTATTGAGGCCTGGTGCATGAAATTTGTGCACTCGAGGGGTTCCCTTAGCCTGGTCTGTGCCTTCTCACAGTCTGGGAGCCCTCTGGGGATGTCCAACTGATGTGAAAGCAGAAGAGGCTCTTGCTACTGCTGCACTCGCCAGCTGTGAACCCAGCTTGTGGCTGAGTGGTGCTCCATCTGTGGGAGTGCTCTGACCACCAGGGGGCAGCTCTGCATTGAGAGTCTACCCCCTGGTAGTCAGTGCGCATCATAGCGACTGATCATTCATCCATTCAGTCATAGTCTCTCAAGGAGCCTCATTGGGTAAGGCATGTTAATTTATCCACAGTTAATTAGGCTAATTTGTGACAAAGCCAATGGTCTCAACACAATAAACAAAAATTTTATAAAAGAGGACTGGGTAATTTCCCAACAAACATCTTACTTTTAAAAAGTAATTTCATCCCCAGACCTCTAACACTTAATGTCTTAGGTATAACATAATCATAATAGACCCTCACTAACAAATATGTTGCAAGAATGAATGATTTGCTGAACTTGTCTCAACCTGATTTGAATATATTTTTGGTTATATGACCAAATAACTATATAGAACATAAACCAATGGACCCTTTTTGGATTTATTTTTTCCTATAAAAGGAGAAAAATTGAGTTTTGGGGGTATGAGATCTGAATTCCATTGTTGCTTCTGATGCTGATAGGCCAGGGATAATTTCTCTAAATTTTCTAGATCTTCACCAGCCCTTCTGCTAACCGAGGAGCCTGGATGAGATGGTTGCTTTTAAATTTACTGAGTATGCATCTTTCTGTTCATTCCACTTTAGTGGTTTAGATCTATCACTCAGGGCAAATAAATAGAATTCATACAGAGAATTTGGCTCAATAATTAGAACTTATACAAAGAACTCATCATCTATATATTAGGATGGCAGATTGTTGTTTAGATCTTCTTTAGCTGCAGGAGGAACAATAATAGTTACCATACGTATCTTAGCAGAGCTGGAAGGAATTATCTGTAGCATTCTTTTGAGTTTTTAAATGCATAAATGCTTTTGAGTTTGATTCTATATGAAATGTGTGTGCTGGTCATGTGGTCTCAGGAATGAATTTATGTGCCATGCCAGCACAGCCAAGGGTTCAGTGTGCCTGAGGTGGAGGGAGGGGGGAAAGAGAAGGGCATGGTGGTGGTGGCTAAGGATTAAAGAAAAGACCAACAGGAGAATAAGCTGGGTCTAGGTGAATCTCCTGTGCCTGGCTGAGGCCACAGAGACAGATCCAGACAACAAATTCAGCCTTTATTTTATAGTCAGATGTAAACAAGGTGGTGGTCACCATAGTTACAATGTTCTTGTGAGTTTCACTTGTTTTCACAGCACTTGGTGCACCTCCCACAGCCTATTAGCTACCCAGATAAGATCTAGAGAGAGTCATAAGGTCAAGCTTAATTATGCTAAAAAGGCTGTGCTTTTCAAGCTGGGGCTTGTTTATGGCTTTACCAATAGGTAGAAAGTCCAAGGCTTAACCCTATAGCCGCTCCCTACATCTCACCCTTCTTTTATTTTTAAGCTACTGTAATGGAAGTAAAACTTAAACATTGAGGACAAAGCTCTGACTATTAAAGCAATACCAAAACAATGCCAATGCAAAACCCAAACTACAGACATGTTAACATTTTAAAACTTGAACCCCATGAACAAAACTCTAGCTATTAAAACAATAACAAAACAATACCAATACAAAACCCAGACATAGCTATTAACAAAATAATGCCAATGTAACACAACAAAAATAGAGAAATAAAACTATAGTAACATTTTTCTACTAAATGAGTTTCTTTTGCTAATTTACTTAAAATCTTCAGACTTGGCTGCACAAGACTTCATAGAAGACTGGCAGCTAACCAATGCTAGCATGGCCAGAAACATGGTTGAGGGAGTAGCTTCCATTTCTTGCTTTTCTACCATCTGCTGGGCCTCAGTTAACTTATTTAGATGACCCCATGTTGGCACCTCAGTCCCTTAAATAGCCTTCATCATCTTTTCTATATTGCTGTCATAAGGGAAACTCTCAGTCTTTTGAACGATGGGACAAGGAGCTTCTCTGTGTCCATTGTGGTGACGTACATAACTCTCTGGCACCCAAATTGTCTGCGCTGCTCCTTCTGGAAAGACACAAAACACAACCTCTTCCCCACATCATTAGTGGATCTGGTAAAACTCTTGTCTGGTTTGTGCATCCTTCCACCTGGCTAACCTGGCAAAGGCTATTGTACAGGAGGTCCGGTGCCTTCCAGCTGCTGTACAACCCTCTGCATTGTAATTCAAAAAGTTTAACATAGTCTAGGTGGATCTCTGTGCCTGGCT